TCTGTGTGTGTGTGTGTGTGTGTGTGTGTGTGTGTGTGTGTGTGTGTGTGTGTGTATCACGTTTTGTTTATCCAGTTATTTGTTGATAGACCCTAGTGTTTTTTCCACCTTTTGGCTGTTGTGTATAATGCTGCAGTAAACATTGGCATACAAGTATTTGAGTACCTGTTTTCAATTCTTTTGGGTATATACCTAAGGAGTGGAATTGCTGGGTCATATGGTAATTCTTTGTATAGCTTTTTGAAGAACTGTCAAACTTTTCCACAGAAGCTACATCATTTTACATTACCACTTGCAGTGTACAAGGGTTCCAATTTCTCTGCATCCTCGCCAATACTTGTTATTTCTGAAAAACGTACTGTATTTTTAAAATACGAAAATGAAACCTCTAGGTTCTAACTAATCATTGAGAATATTGATCATTTTCAAATAATAGGAATTGAAATACAAAAATTGGACAAAAAGTGGGCAGTTTCTGCTTTATTTTACTGTATGAGTACATTAGTCTTTGCTTTTTCTAATTTTGAAAAGTGTCAAACGGATAAAACAGTGGTATCACTTTTTGCTTCCTTAGACAGTACCGTAAGTGTAAACTTAATTTCAACCTAGGTAAGCTTAACTGAAATTTCAAATCCTTTTACTAATGAATACACTTTTCATTTATTGGGGATAAATGTACATAACCATTTTAATAGTTTGATACTTGTTACCACAAAATCAGTGACCTATTTTAAGACCAGTAGCTTCTTGTAATCTATAGCTCAAGGTCATTACTTACATTTAAAAATTTTTCCAGTTACAGCCACAGTTATTGTTTGTCCTTGCAAACTAGAGAGCAAAAAGTTCTGAAACCTAGTTGAGGACTTGAATTAAAAAATTGCATTAAGTAATCTGTGCCATTATTAGTAGAAAAGATGTCCTTTTAGACCTAACACATTTTCTTTTTTAAAAAAATAGGAGCAAGCATTTGATCCTTATGAAACATTATCACAGGACATTCTTTCACCAAAATTTAATGAACATTTCAGTAAGGTGATGGCCAGACCTGCCGTGGCTCTACACTTTCAGGTAAACTTAAATTGAATGTTATTTTTATATATGAAGCAACTAAAGAAATATTTCACCATCTTATCCTTCAAATATTTGTAACTCTAGAATCCTTTCATAAAGTAATTGAGGAAATATTTCAGCAGTCCTTCAAAATCTGTTAATTGTAAGCCTATTTTAGATTGAAAAAATTAATCTGTCCTCAATGTAGAAATCTTTTATAGAATACCATCACAAATACTGATTGACCAGAAAAATCTGGCACATTTTAGATCTGGGCTATAGAGATAAATATGGAGAGCTATTTTAGGTTCTTATTCCCAACAAGATAGAACTAAAATCATAAAGAGGGGAAAATATCCTTATGTATACTCATACTGATTTCTCTGTCAGGCCTATAATTTAAAGAAGATAAATATGTTAATAGGAAATGTGCAAGTTAATTGTTCAGTAATGCAGTTAGGTAAAATGCAAATGGAGAGAGACAGATGAAATTTATATTTTTACTTTTTCAACACTAAACAAGGGTTTTACATTGGTATTGATGATCCTTGACTACTTATTGCTGTAGAAACTTCCTAAATCTAGACCAGCTCTTCTCCCTTAGCATATGAATATGGTCAAGTCTTTATTGTCTTAAAACAAGCAAATAAAGCTTTCACCACTTCTCTTGTTTTTCTCATTTGTAGCCAATTGTCTTCATATTACTTTTTACCATTCTTCATTAAACTGCTATCATCTGTGTCCTAATAAGGATATAACACTAAAAGCTGCCCCAATAATGAACTTAACCACCAAATCCAGTGGATTTTTTTTTTTAAAGATTTTATTGGGGAATTGGGGAGGGGAACAGTGTTGGGGAAATGGGGAAGGGGAACATTGTGTTTTTCCAGGACCCATCAGCTCCAAGTCAAGTTGTTGTCCTTCATTCTTAGTTGTGGTGGGCGCAAGCTCAGCTCCAACTCCAGTTGCCACTTTCAGTTAAGTTGTGTATGGGGGGGGGGGATGTAGTTTACCACCCCATGCAGGAGTTGAACTGGCAACCTTGTTGCATACTGAGCCATGCAGCCTCCTGTCAGCAGCTGGCAGCTGCTCAGCTCAAGGTGCTGTGTTCAATCTTAGTTGTGGTGGGGCACGGCCCACCATCTCATTCGAGAGTTGAACTGGCAATCTTGTTGTTAAGAGCACATGCTCTTAGCAGCTCAGCGGCAACTCAGCTCGGATGCAGCTCACTGGCTCATGTGGGAATTGAACCCGCAACCCTGTTTCTCAGAGCTTGTGCTCTAACCAACTGAGCCACTTGGCTGGCCCCAGTGGATATTTTTGATTCCTTATTTTTGTTTGTAGTATTTGTTAGTTCCCCTTTCCTTTTGGCTCTCATGATAACTGTAATTTTATCTTCCTTGATTTTATCTTCTCAGTCTCCTCATTGCAGGTATTATCCAACTTCTATTATTAGCCCCTGATTTTCTGTCCCTCTGATGCTCTACTTGAGTGACTTTTGCTTTAGCTACTGCCTATATGCTGATGACTTCCTGTTTGTATTTTCAAACCATAACTCTTTGAGCATTGGGTATGTGTGTGTACACTTTCATACAACCACATGCCTTTTTTTTTTTAAGATTTTTATTGGGGAATTGGGGGGATGGGAACAGTGCTGGGGAATTGGGGGAAGGGGAACAGACTAGTTGCTGTCGTTTTGTTCTTCAATCTAGTTGTGGAGGATGTTGCTTCACTGGCCCAAGTTGGCACCATCATTGCGCTCTTCTCTGGTGAGGCAGATCAGTCGCTGGCTTCTGGATGGCCGCTCACTGCGGCTGCTGGCCGCTCGCTACATACGGTAGCCCATGGCAACCCACTGCCACAGGGACTGCAGCCTACGCCATCGCCGGCGACTCACAGCAGCCCAGCTCCAGGTTGAGCTGTTGTTCAGCATCTTAGCTGTAGAGGGCAGTGTCACTGGCCCTCATATGTGGGATCCGAACCGGGGCCCTCTGGCATCCCAAGCGAGTTCTTAACCATCGCGCCACTCGGCGGGCCCCACATGCCTTTTGAACTAATTAACTTAGATATCCCGCAGGCGTTTCAAATATAAATGTTCAAAGTTGAACTTACCATCTTTTCTCTGACTTCTTTACTGTGTTCCCATTATTATCTTCTTCTCCTACTCAAAAACTTGCCAACTTGGAATAAAAATTACACTTAAATTCTCAAAATTTACTTCCATGAAGGAGTACTTTTTTAAGTTAAATCTTGTATGTAGATATAAACCATACAGTAAACAATGTTAAATTAGACAGCCTGCCTGTAATATCTTTGCATACTCATTAAAAGAACTCACAACATTTCTTGTTTCATTCCTATTTTATTAGTAATTCTGACTGTGGGATTTGAATGTTTAGGGTCCAATTATTTAAGCTATTGCTCCAGTGAAATTGAAAGTCAGATAAAACAGCTTTTCAAAGGCCAAACTCACATGTGATGTATTAACTTTAAAAAGCTGAAGTAGGGCCGGCCGAGTAGCTCAGTTGGTTAAGAGCTCGCTCAAGAGTGCGAGCTCTGAGCAACAGGGTCGCCAGTTTGATTCCTGGCCTGAGCTGAGCTGCCGCTGAGCTACCAACAGGTAGCAGGATGGCTCAGCTAAAGAAAAAGAGGAAAAAAAGCTGAAGTAATGCTTCATTTAGAAAAGTAATAAAACTTCTTTATAAGTTGTATATGGCACACTTTAAGAATATGAGTTTTGGCCCAATTAATAGTTGTCAAGTCTGTTGAACAAATTATAATTTAACTTTAACAATATATGAGAATTATGGGAATATTTTACCTATATATTATAAGGATATATTTTAATAGCATATCAGATTCTTTCTTCATATTATATATTACTGTTGTATTTATCTGATGAAAAATAACAATTTAAATAAGTCAACCTTAATTACACTTAAAATCATGAATGACTTTTAAATCTCTTATAAATTTTAGAAAATCATTTATTCTACAGACTATTCATTTTCAAAACTGGGTCATATGTAACCCCTAGCTATACACTTTCAGGTGATAATAAGGGTACGGATAACTTTTAGGGAATTAGTTTCTAGTCTGCCAGCCACCTTGTTTGTGTTTTTGCATTCTCTTTTCCAATTTTCCTCACACTTTACCTATTGCCATATTGAATTTCCCATTATGCATTGATCTAAAGTGTAAAAAACTTCCAGGGTACCAGTAAGAAAAAAAAATGTATTGCTCCCAAAATAAGAGTTATGAGTGGGATTCCTGTACCCAATTCCAACGTAGGGAGCGGGTTCCTCCCACCCACTAACAAACAATTCTGAGACACCAGCAAGAATTCCACCCAATTTTGACACTGTGTACCCAGAGATAGAATCAGATTCTACAAGTTAAGGGTTCAATCCTACCATACTGTGCTTCCTGCTGGGGGACCTCAGTTCTTGTGCGCACGCACAGGCACAGACACTCACTTCAGAGGCCAACCACAAGCCCAGGCTCTTACCTGATCTAACCAACTGGCTATAGATTGGAGGTTCCAGTGACTCCCTGCTTGGGTTCATTTTGCTAAAAAGGCTCACAGAACTCAGAGAAACATTTTACTTACTAGATTAGCGGTTAATTATAAAAGTATACAGAGGAGGGTGCCAAAAATATGGATACACATTTTAAGAAAAGAAAACTGTATTAAAATTGTAATACTCAATATATACCCATAACGAAAGATGAACACAAGTCACGTTTGACTGCTGCAATTACAAGAGGTGCTCAAGTGGTTACCATCAGCTTCCAGACACTTCTGATTACGGCAAACTACTGCTTGAGCAAAGTTAACCAAAATGTCTAGTTGTATACATTTTTTTTGGCATCCCGGTATTAAAGGAAAAGGATAATCAACAGCCAGATAAAGAGATACATAGGGCGAGATCTCAAACAAAAGAGCGTATGTCCTCATGGAGCTTGGGGCCCCAGCTTGGTGGCACATGAAAGCATTCTGGTTCTCCAATTTGGAAGCGCTCCAACAAGGCAAAGGGCTGTCCTTCTGGGTATTTATGGAGGTTTTAGAAGTTCTTTTTTTTTTTTTTTTTTTAGCTGAGCCATCCTGCTACCTGTTGGCAGCTCAGCATCAACTCAGCTCAGGCCAGGGATTGAACCACTGTTGCTCAGAGCTCGCACTCTTGCGTGAGCTCTTAACCAACTGAGCCACTCGGCCGGCCCCTATGGAGGTTTTATTATGTAGTCATGATTGACTTAAGTTGGCCACTGACAGTTGAACTCAATCTACATCACCTCTCTCCTCCCCAGAAGTCAGGCAGTGGAACTGAAAATTCCAGACCTCCAATCACATGGTTGATTCTCCTGGAAACCAGCCCCCACCTGTGGGTAGGGTCCAAAAGTAATCTCATTAACGTAACAAAAGACACCTTTAGCACTCTCAAAACTTAGGAAATGCCAAGGGTTTGTGGGATCTGTGAGTGAGGAACTGTGGAAAAAGACCAAATATCTTACAAATCACGATACAGCAAGTTCATTGACTGCAAAGCAAAACTATTCCAAGAGAATTCTTGATTGTTAAAAACTCTTGGTAGTTGAAATGGCATGTCCTCTCTACCAGTGACTTGTCATATGTAACTAAGAATTAAGAAGTGAGATAGTTGTAACAAGGGTGAATATTAATTTTTTTTAAAGTACTTTATTATTCATTGGACACTGGGATAAAGGAAATGGATACCTGGATATATTATGTTAGGTTCTTATGGATGCTTTCTATGCTTAAGACTGTGACATTAACATGTATATTTGAATTTAAGAATGTAATCAGACTTTTTTGCAGAAATTAAGTCTGATCTGACTGTTTATTTTGACAATGAAGATTGGCTTTGTAAGTTAAGCTCTAGGACAGACATTTTTCATAAATGAACTAAATCTGAAACTTATTTAATCATTGTTTGGTGAAATATATTTAAATCATATCTACAGTATACATACAACATCCCCCAAAATACATCCTTTGTAACTACTTAAAATTAAAGCATTTCAAGTGGTGGCATAAAAATGCACGAAAAGGTACATAGCTTTTCAAAATTTCTTTAGGGTATGTGGAACCTAAAACTTGTGAAAAAAAGCTGAGCAAACTGTTGTAAAAGTTATTTTAGCTATATAAGAGATGAAGAAATGCATGTATTTATCTAATAACTTAAAGGAGTAAAAGAAAAAAACTCGATTGATAGCACTTCCATTTTAATATAGAATGTTTTCCATTATAGTTTCAATAAGTCTGTATCTTGTATTTTTAAAAGCTAATTCTGTTAGGCACTGGTGTTTTATATATCCTTGATATCAGAGATACAATATTATATCTTTTTGCTTTGCAGTCCATTGCTGATGGTTTTAAAGAGGCAGTTCGTTATGTCCTTCCACGCCTTATGCTGGTGCCAGTGTATCATTGTTGGCACTATTTTGAATTATTGAAGGTAAGATGAATGCTTTCTAAACCAAAAGTACTTGCATTTATCAGGCTTAAAAACTAGTTTTTGATATGGTCATATTATTTTTTAATACTTTATTCATAAAAATAAATGTCTACCTCCTTTCCACAGACCATGGAGAAAAGCCTGTCTGTTTTACTTATCTTCATATTATTTCCAAGTGGTAGATAGAAACAGGAAAATGTATCTTTATCTGTCATTTCATAATACAGAATCTCAAAGTACTAACATTATAAAAAGTATATATATATATATATTTTTTTTTAAGATTTTATTAGGGAATTGGGGGAGGGGAACAGCGTTGGGGGAATTGGGGAAGGGGAACAGACAAGTTGCTGTCCTTTTGTTCTTCAGTCTAGTTGTGGAGGACGTNCTGTAGAGGGCAGTGTCACTGGCCCTCATATGTGGGATCCGAACCGGGGCCCTCTGGCGTCCCAAGCCAGCTCTTAATCAATGCACCACTCGGCCAGCCCCAAATACTCTTTTTTTAAAAAAAGATGTCTCTTGTATACTAACAATGCAATATCAGAAAAAGAAATGAAGAAAATTCCATTTGCAATTGCAACAAAAAAGGATAAAATACCTAGGAATAAACTTAACGAAGAAATGAAGGCCCTATACACCAAAAATTACAAGACATTGTTGAAAGAAATTGAAGACAACACAAAGAAATGGAGAGATATTCCATGTTCATGGATTGGCAGAATCCGCATAGTTAAAATAGCCATATTACCTAAAGCAGTATACAGATGTAGTGCAGTCCACATCAAAATACCAATGGCATTTTTCAAAGAAATAGAAAACCATCACATTTGTATGGAACCATGAAAGATCCCGAATAGCCAAAAGCAATCCTGGCGTGGTGGTGGTGGGGGGGAGCCCCTCCCTGACTTCAAATTATACTACATACTAAAGTAATCAGTATGGTATTGGCAGAAAAATAGACACACAGACCAGTGGAAGAATTGAGAGCCCAGAAATAAACCCACATATATATGGGTAACTAATTTTTGACAAAGGAGCCAAAAACATACAATGCAGAAAGGAAAGCCTCTTCAATAAATGGTGTTGGGAAAATTGGAAAGCCATATGCAAAAGAATGAAGTTTAGACTGCTGTTTGACACCATACATGAAAATTAACTCAAAATTTATTAAAGTCTTAAATATAAGACCTGAAACAATAAAATACATAGAAGAAAACACAGGCACTAAACTTATGGACCTTGGTCTCAGAGGGGCTTTCGTGAGCTTGACCCCAAAGGCAAGGGAAGTAAAAGCAAAAATAAATGAATGGGACTACATCAAACTAAAAAGCTTCTGCACAGCAAAAGAAACCATAAAACAAGAAGGCAACCAATCAAATGAGAGAAGAAATTGCAAATGATGCCTCTGATAAGGGGCTAATATCCAAAATATATAAAAGAATTCATATAACTCAACAACAACAACAAAAACACAGTCTAATTTAAAAATGGGCAGAGGACCTGAATAGACACTTTTCCTAAGAAGACATACAAACGGCCAACAGATATGTGAAAAAATGCTCAACTTCACTAGCTACAAAGGAAATGCAAATCAAAACCACAATGAGATACTACCTCACACCTGTTAGAATGGCTGTTATCAATAAGACAAGAAATAAGTGTTGGAGAGGATGTAGAGAAAAAGGAACCCTCATACACTGCTGGTGGGAATAAAAGTTGGTACAGCCACTGTGGAAAACAGTATGGAGTTTCCTCAAAAAATTAATAGAGCTACCATACGATCTAGCAATCTCACTTCTGGATATCTACCTGAAAAATTTGAAACATTTATTTGTAAAGATACATGTACCCTTATATTCATTGCAGCATTCTTCTTGGTAGCCAGGACATAGAAACAATCTAAGTGTCCTTTAATGGTTACTTGGATAAAGATGATGTGTTATATGTATATGAAGAAATATTACTCAGCCGTGAAAAAGAATGAAATCTTACCATTTGCAGTGACATGGATGGACCTAGAGGGTATTATGCTAAGTGAAATAAGTCAGACAGAGAACGACAAATATTGTACAATTTTGCTTATATGTGGAATCCAAAAGACAAATAAAACAAACTCATAGATACAAAGAACAAATTGATGGTTGCCAGATGGGAGGTGGGGTGAGGGATAGGTGAAAAAGGTGAAAGGGATTAAGAAGTACAAATTGCCAGTTATAAAAATAGTCACGGGGATATAAAGTACAGCTTAGGAAATAGTCAACAATATTGTAATAACTGTCTGGTGTCAAATGGGTTACTAGAGTTATTGGGGTGTGCACTTTGTAAGGTATGTAAATGTATAATCGCTAAGTCGTACACATGAAACTAAACTAAAACTGTAATTGAAAAGTAAATGTAAAAAACTATCTAGAATCCATGTTTTCCAGTAAATTTACTGTGTGTTATCCAACAGATTTATTTCTCTTCCTTATTTGTGATTGACTTTTGCTATGTTTTGGAATATATGTTTTGGAATATATGTGATTGGGTGAAAGATATTATATATATTTAGTAACTTTTAAACAAAATTCTCAACCTCACGTCTTAACCTTTTTCTTTTTTCAGGACATAGAAAAGATTTTCAGTAACATTTCAGATATACATGAGTTGACTGTAAAACTTTTAGGTTTGATTGAAGACACAGTTGAAATGACTGATGAAAGCAGTCCTCATCCCTTAGCTGGCAGCTGTTTTGAAGACTTGGCAGAAGTAAGTTAACAAAACTACTTTATATTCTCCTTTAAATTTTAAATGATGTATTAAGAAATTTAGTAATATATTCTTTGTGAAAATTAGAAGACACTGCTGGGTAGTATAAAAAATACTTAAGATTTAACCAATAGCAAACTATAATGATATTGTATTTATAAATAATGACACTTTATAGTGTATTTATAATAATACTTAAGCGAAAGTTGATAGAATAGTAAGTTTTAAGGTTTTTTTTTAAATGGCAAGTGCATTTAAGGTGAAAGAAATGTTATTGATCCTAATTGTTTAGCTTTTGTGGATTTTAGTCTTAATTTCCAAATTTTGAAAAGGAAGTTTATATTTTAATTTTGTTTCCAAAGTGAAAATCATTTTGTTGTCTTAAATGATTATAAAAGTAATATAGCTCATTGTAAAAGTATTCACAAAGAGAGGCAAATATAAATAAAATGAAAATCATTCCAGAGATGTTATCCTTATAACATTTATTATTTGTTGTTAGTTATTTTCTACACATACATGCAAACCCATGTGTACTTACAAAAATAAGATCTTACTCTTTTATTATCTGCTTTCTTTCAGTGAGTATATCACAAACATTTTTTATGTTAATAAGTGCACTTCAATATAATTTTTATAGTTTGAATAGTGCCATATTATGGAGACACCATACATATTTTAACTGTCTACTATTTTAAGCATGTAGGTTGTTTCCATTTTGGTTATTGTAAATAATACTGCAACAAACATATTTATACTATGCCTTCATAGCCTAGTAATTATTTTAGGATATATTCCTAGAGAGAAATTGTAGTACTAAAGACAAGGTTTTTAGAGCTTTGAAACATTTTGCCAAAGTTACTTTCAAATAGCTTCTACTAGATGTTGGCCTTCCTTTTTTTCCCCACACCTTCACTAACTCTGGATATTACCCTATTAATTTTTGCGAATCTAGTGGGAAAAACAAAACACCAGCATTTCTTTGTTCTTTAACTTTACTTTTTTATTAAACTAATGATGTTGAACATCTTTTCACTCATTGGCCATTTTTTATTTCTTTTGGAAAACAGAGCTTTAAAAGTGCTTTCTTTAGATGTCATGTAAATTTCCTAATTTTATAATCTCTGCATATATTTTTCTGAAAATATACATCACTTTTATTACATCTATTTTGTAGACAATGAAACTGATAGTATGGAAATATTCAGCTACTGATGCCGAACCAAAATATTCAGCTCTGGTTCTTATTAGAAAATTTTTCTATTGTTATATCTTGGCTTATTCATTTGTAGTTTGGTTGCCAAGATATCATGGTTCAGAAACAATGTATTTGCTAATTTTTGTTTTGTTTTTTGTTGTGGTAAAATATATGTAACAAAATTTGCCATTTTAGCCATTTTTAAGTATACAGTTCAGTGGCATTAATTAAATCCACAGTATTATACAACCATTACCACTATCTGTTTCCAAAACTTTTCCATCACCCCAAACAGAAACTGATTAAGAAACAACTCCCTGTTCTTCCCTCCCTCTAACTCCAGTAACCTCTAATCTACTGTCTCTGTGAATTTGCTGATGCTAGATATTTGATATAAGTAAAATCAAACAATATTTATTCTTTTGTGTCTGTTTGTTTTACTTAGCATGTTTTTAAGGTCCCTCCATGTCCTAGCATGGCTCAGAACTCCATCCCTTCTATGGTTGAGTAATATTCCTGTGTGTGTGTGTGTGTGTGTGTGTGTGTGTGTGTGTGTGTGTGTGTGT